AACGACAGTTGCGAAAAGATAAAGGAAAATGAAGTTGTTTAAATTTCAAACTTAAATTCGATTTGAACGAAAGTTAACAATTTAATTGACGTAACGAAATAAAGGCATTTTCAATTCTTCGTTATGTTGTCTCGAAAATAGTTGTAAATGGTACTCTGTTTCTCTTCTGTTAAGAGAAGCTTCTAACCAGATACACCCCATTGCTGGCAAATTTTAGCCATTGTCGCGTCCAGTGGGGACTCGAATCCAGGTAACTGGGAATCCTTGTCGACCCGGTCAGGTCAGGTAGTTGGAAAAAAACCGGTGTTGGTCCGCGCCGCCCAGAGATAATCCATGTAGCCACGGTGGCGGGACTTACTTGCCCCCTCCTCTTCACTAGCATACAGTGGCCAACCCCTGTAAGAAGCAACGATACCGCGGCTGAAAAGCCGCTGCGAATAACGTGCTTACGCGCGATCATCCGACCGCGATCCTCAACACCCGTGACAGATCAAGCTGCGCGCGCCTCTTTCTCTATCTCTTTCCTTTCTTCTCGCCGCTCCTTCTCCCCTCTGGATGAATCGAGCATAAGCTGGCCGCGTTAAACAGCGAGAGAACAGCGGCTGGGCCTAAGTACAGCGACGTTGAAGGTGGAATCTCTTTTTCCAGGGGGGCTAACAATACAGTGTAGATTACTTTTCAGAATGGGCGGTGTGACGTAAACGCGGACACTCCCTTCTCACGAACAATCGTTGTGTTTGCCGACACAATTTCCACGGATTAAAATCATAAGAGCAAGGAGGATCGGTTAGGATTTTTTTCTTCGCCAGTTGTGGATGGCTGAATTTCCGCCGCTCTGCGTCGGGGATTTTCGTGACCGCTTCACTGAAGTTTGACTATTTGAGAGGTGGGTCATGAGTTTTCTGGGAAAAAAAGGAGAATAAGACAGAGATAAAATGGTCGGCCAATATTAGTTGGATCGATTCGATTCGAGCTTTTTATTAAAATTTTATTCTCTAATTTCTACATTCCCGAAACGAACAGACAACCATATCATTCCTTATAAACTTTCTATATACTTGCTTTCAACGTATCTTTCACGTATCCTTCCAATTTAAGCATCAAAAAAAACATCTCTATTCAATTTGTCCTACATTTTATCATTTCCATCGTAACCCGTATAAGGTTCACAGAAGAAAAAAAAATGAGAGTACACACACACACGTCTCGTCTTTTCAAATTCCGAAAAGTCGAGGGATCCAGATTTGACCGCGATCGAAAGTCAAAGGCATATTCGATCCCCGGCCGTCGGCGGACAGCGGACGGATTCGATATCGGGTCCTGATGAAGGCTTCTCGAATGTCGTGTCAGCCACTCTTGGAACTGAGAGGGAAGAGAGGTAGAAATAAAATAGAAAGGGAGATCGAGAGCGGGGAGGCCGCATTCCTAGACGGCTTACCGGTCGGTTATCGCGGCAGCCATCGCTCGTCTTCTCATATCCAAAGGTGGCGGATTTGTTTCTTCCTCTTATCCGACCCTTAAGCAGAGGCTTTTGCGCGGGGGTGGCGGGCCGGTGGTACAAAGGCACCCTAGGGACGCAACAACGGTATCATCTTCGGAAGGACGGAAAGCTACCGAATTTTCGAATCGTTCGAACGTGTCGGTTCGAATTTTTTCCGGGCTCGTGGCCACGTCCCATGGATATGAAGCTGTCTCGCGTCCCATTGTTTGAAGGCTCTCGGCTTTCGAATTCTTTTTTTTTTTTTTTTTCTTTCATAGTAAAATGCCGAAATGATCGAATTAATTGAAGGAAACGTTTGGAACATTGACACATCTGAAAAAAAAAGGATATCGTTAATAATTTCTATTCTCCATTATAATCATAATTATGCGACACCGTTATTGTTTATTTTATAAAAGAGGAAGGAAATTGGAGATGGCACATTCGAGATATTAAAAAACTTCGCATAAGGGTCTCGTGTTACGTAAACGATCGAGAAGAGAAAAGTCAATTCGCGAATATTTATGATGCAACGATTACAAGGAATAACAGCGAAACGAATCGGGGAACGGTCCCCCTGGATTATGTCCCCTTTTTGCTATTATAGGGAACTACCCATGCATGAGGTATTATCATACAAATATAATCCCCATACGCCCTTACGCAAAATAATATTTGTCCCGATCGTCGTACGACCAATTATCTTAACTTCCGTGATATGTCAACCCTTATACGTACATGTTTACACTTATGTGTATATATATATACACACACACGAATATAATGCGCAGAAAAGTTTGACATAAGTACTTTTATTATTCGACATTGGGATAAGTAGTGACGATTTTCTCAAAAGTTCTGATTGAATCGTAAATAAAACAATCAATGGTTCATATATCATTGAAATATATAGAGAATATTCTTTTTAAATAAATATTCTCTTTCTAATATTATCTCCTTATTTCCTTCTTTATGTAAACGTGATTTTAACATATTTTCCTTTTTATTAATCCTTAAATATCAAAGATTACGAAACCAAGAAGATTCAATACTTTTGGACCGAGCGCATGATAAAAACAAAATTTCTTCTTAAAGGAAAAAACTCCACGTAACGCAACGATTGCTAAGCTTAAGCCGCGAGAATGTATGAGGCCCCATAAAATGCAGCTCGAGAACAGAAAGAATCTGTTGGAGAAGGATCAATTGGGGTATATATATATACGTGTTCACTTATAGGGAATCGCGATAACACAGCGAAACCATTCTCGGTTTCCCGACTCCTACGAAACAGTTGGCCCCCTGATTGGTCATCTCTGTGTGATCGAGCACGTTACACATCGACGTTGTGTCGAGCAACGACACGCGTTCTCCGTTTCTCTGTCCACGGGTTCCGCGCGGTCAAACGGCCCGTGAAAATCTTCTAAATCAATTTCTGCGCCGGCATTTATCGAGTCGCGTCCCTCAATCTCGTTGGATTTAGGATGAAAACGAATGACCTTCGACTACTAGGATCGATAGTCCTCTCCTACGCGGATATCGGCTTGGCTTCTGCATTTGTCTCGATGGGGAGGGAAAAACGTCGGCCCAAACTCGATTTCGTCTAAATCTACCGCCCTTACGTCCTTTATACCGCCCCTGGTTTAACATCTTTATCGTAATTTTCTTGATTGCCCGCCGCGTTATCGCAGGAATACAACCTCGAATATTTTACGAATAAAAATTCGATAATAGTAATTGGTGATATTTTTCAAGATATTTGTCGGTAGATTGAAATTTAGTTATCCTTTATGATAAATAGGAGGATGTGTTTTCGAGATCAATAAGATAAGCTATTCAAAAAAGATAACTTTTACAATAATTGTGGAGTTGTTATAATTTCTTTGACGCTATTAATATAAAGCTTTTTTGGCTCTAAATACTCTATCTTCTATTATCATCTATTTCATCTAGTGTAATATAATTTGAAAAGATAGTACTTCAAAAATCGAATTCAGAAATCGAATCGACAATTTTATCAAATTCAAGTTTCGTTCCAATGATAGGAACAAGATCATTTACGTCATTTCAATTAAAAACGAACTTTAATTACAATTATTTTAAGTAAATTCTTAATGAAACATCCTAATAACTAGTTGACTCGACAACAAATAAAATATCTATCCAAATATCTTAAATGTCACCAATACAATACAATAAAATCACCTTTGTGTACACAACAATACAGAAGCAAAGCAAACGTATATACTAATAATCCCATTACCTCGTATTCACTCCACAGTCCACGATTTTTGGCTTCCTCCATGCCAACCGTTATCAAAGGGACGTCCAAGCAAGATTTAATTAAGAATTCTTCAAACTAGACATCCGAGCAGGATTTCGCGCGGCCCCCTCTGCCCCCGATATATCCGAAGAATCAACGTCAGAACGCCAGAAACGAAACGTCAGGGCACGACGGCGCACCATGGCGCGGAGGATACAGAAAGGAAGGACAAGAGGAAGACGAGACATTGGAAGGTTCGCGTTTCGAGCCGGTAGCACGAACAAGCGTCCTCTTGGCCTCCTCTCGGCACCGGCAAAGCATTCCTCGTGTCAGAACTTCACAAAGATCCTCCGGTTAACAGAGAATCGAGAGACTAAGAAGGAGAGAAAGACCAGCGGGATACTTCGACGAGGGGCTACTGGTTTCTCCGCGAGATTCTTGATGAGAAAATGCGTGGTTTCGTTCCTTCGTCAAAAAGTCGCTGCATGCTCCCGTACGATTCGTAAGAGCGTCACAGCGTGAGTTTTGTGCCCTCTATCCACGATGTGTCCGTATAAATTTCAGCGACGTTTCGTCGGGGTCCTGGAAATATACTTCTGGTAAGAAAGAGAGGAAGAAAGAGAGAGTAAAAAAGAAAAAGAATTACGGGAAGTTGAGACGATCGATGGATAGATTTGTAATTTTGGATCGTAGAAGGAGAAATTTGAAAGCGTTAATTTATTGGAATAATACAAAGATTAAGTAGTAATAGTATCAAGAAATATCGAAAGATGTTATAAAAATGGAGGAAATATTTTATGCTCACTATATAATAGTATCACGTCGCTTTATTCTATCTCCAATTTTTAAATTATGAATCGTAAAAAAAACGTTTTTTTTTTATTTCATATTTCATAAAAAATGTTTGTGTTCTTTCGCTTCTTACGATCCAATGAAGCGAGCATAAAATAAAATAATAAAAAGAGAAACCGCCAATTCTGAGAATATTTACCTTCTCGGATGCATTCATTCCGCAATGATTATATCATGTAATAAGTTATATTATCTTATTCGTAAATATAAAACTTTCTATAAACGAGTTTTTCCATTTTCATGATTGTAGAAAGTAGCCAATCTGCATTTCTTTTACAAAACTTCTTATGAGACACAATATCTATGTATGAAGAGAAGTAAGATTATTTTTCATTATTTTATATACATAGAGAGTAATAATTATTCCTCATCGTTATGTAATGAACACGGTATATAAAATGTAAGACTTTAAAAACGAATTTAGATTTTTTCATCCGTAATAAAGATCGTTTTCATATGAACATTCAAAGTGATCGGTGAACAAAGTAAAATTATTTTCTACTTTTCATCAATAAGATTCATCCATAATGAAAACAATGGCAAGTCTAAACTTAACCAATGACAAATAATCAATTCATAACATACAGTTTTAGTGCCGTATAATCGTGCATATCCGAAGTGAAAAGTCTAAATTCGTCTTAAATCAATCCAATACTCACGAATTCAATCATTGTACAAATATTTATCTATAAATATTCTAATTTTCATCATTCCTATGTGAATAAATTATTCAGAATATAGAATATTCAAAATTAAAAAGTGTAAATTCGCCTTAAGGGAGCAACTTCTCCCGTGTCCGTAGAATATGACAATAAGATCGGTCAGACCGGTGACAGGGGTGGTTCGAGTTCTCGTGTGTTACGTGTACTACGTGGAAAGGGCGAAACACACTGGACAAGCCATTCCAATGCGAAAGAAAGAGAAAAGAAACGGACAGACGGACCACCCCGTCTGCCGGCGATCATGTCTCGATCACGTAAACTAGCCGCCCCCTCATCCATCATGCCTTCGTCGTACATTGTCATGTGTGACCAGCCCGATCTCCTTTTTCTTCCTGCATCCTCTTCCTCTTCGTGCTCCTCGCCTTTCAGCTTGTTCCTCCGTCTTGTTCCGCCAATGGTGTATCTCGTGTCGTGGACTCGAGATCTCGGTGCAAATTGGCAGGGAAAAACAAACGGCGAGACCTGGCCAGGCCGACGTAAACGTACCGATCAGGGGTGGCCAAGGTCTCAAGATTCATAATTAGAGTCAGCGTCGTCTCGTGCTGCTGGCTGCATCGTTCTGTAACGAGGATTAGAGAAATTGATTTATGTGTATATTTTTTCCCCCCCCCACTTTTTGGAAGAAGGATCTGCGTCAGAATAGTACGTGTCAGTTGTCATTCCGTTGGAAATTTGAATTTAACATTCAATACGGTAAATTTTATCCTGTCATCGGTTATGTCGTATTGAAAGGTAAAAAAAAAGTTGTAATACAAGTCGAATATTAATGAAATTCGTAATATAATTGATTAATTTATGTGAATAAGAATGTTATATCAATCTAAAAGAATTGATAAACATCAATTCTCTATTTAAAATATCATAATTCAATAAATGAATTCTTATAAATCACTTTTTTATTTTTAAAATGTATTCTCGTATTTTTAAAGATAAATTATTTTTCAGTACAATCAGAAAATAAAGCATACATCTCTGGACAATGTGTTGTTATTGATGTGTATAAATGTTAACAATTTAATGATATATTTCAATTCAAGTTATTCAAAACGAATAATTTACCGGGAAGATTTATAATTGTATGCATGCACCATGTTCTAGTCTGTTTTCAATCTTTAGATTACATAGTCTGGTCACCCCAAGCTGGACAGTACATTGCTAATTGCTGATTGATCGTTTCTGAATAACGCAATTAATTGAACGAGAATCCTGTTACTTGTACAACAACCTTAAAAAAGAAACAAAAAAAAAATTAAAAATTCTTCATTTGTATTTTTCTTATTAATATATATTTTTTTCTTTGATATCTTCTAACAATTTCAAAAACAATAATAAGAGATAAACATCTCGATACAATATAATTTTTATGAAAAAAATCAATGAAGCATTTAATATAAAATAATTAAAACTTACAAAGAGCAAAGTTTCTATCTTATCCATAATTACATCTTATTCAAATCTTCCAATCATTAATATCCCAATCTCAAAACTTTGCCACAAGCACAACAATATGAAAATTATTATATTACACAACTTTAAAAATCTCTTTTAAAAGAGAAGTCTCTGTGCACAGAGAGAGATATCGAGAGACTTGAGTACCGATGCAGCGGTCGATCACACAAAGGGTGAGAAACGAAGGGCAGAAAACGAATAAAGGAGCTTCCCCGACTATGGCACGTGCGAAGGCTGCGAGCCGCAAAAGAGGCGGCTTATATTATTATAACCGTGGGCAGGTGGGCGAGGCACTCTATTGGCAGTGCTAACGAGGGATCGGTAATTATTACCCACGACTTAACTCCTAGCTGCTCGTGCAAAGACCTTTATTGTAATCGCTCACCCTTCGTCCTTTTCTTCTTCCGGAACGAATCTAGTTTGTGGGAATCCTATAACATGACTGCGGCTACCGAATTAATACGCATTACCACCACGCGTTTCCTCTATTTTCACCATTTCTTTTCAGAAATTTTAAGAACGAGCTAGAAATGGGGATTAAACGCTATTGCTTGAGATAATTGGATATTGATAATTGGATCTATTACTGTAGATTTTTGGTAATGTTGGAAATTCTTGATATTTTTTGAGAACTTTTTATTATTTTATTATTTTCATAGTAACTTTTTTAATTAAAAATATAATCAAAATTTTAACCAATATTTATTTGGTTAAAAAAGATTAAAATTATTTTAATAAGTCATTTTAATAATATATTATTCAAAGCATTAAATAATTGCAGTTAATTGTTGAAGTTATATGAAGAATTATGAATAAATTTGAACATTTTAAATAAAGTTATCATTTAAAGTAACATTATTAATTTTAACTAATTAACTTTTCTAGTTCTATATAGAAATATAAAGAAATATAAAGAATGTATATATTGTGAAATAAAATAATATTGAATATCATTTTTAATCATTTTTAAATATTTATAGTTTTACATTAATAATTCTTGAATTTTGATTTAATCTGATATTATATACAAAATTTGATTATATGATTATTTGAATTCATAAAAAATTGAAATCATTGCTGTATTGAAATATATATACTTACATATGATAGTAATTTATTTTTTATTCTATAAAAATGATTATTTCATATTGAATTCCGTGCACGTGTTCAGAGTTTGTCGTATGCCAAGTTCGCAAGTAAGCGGGTCAAACACCGTATCAGATGATTTTCACGTTTTGATGGAGTTGTTGACCCTTGTAAAGGTACCTGCGTGCTGCTACGATTACACACTTTCAACGCGTTAGTGTGAATGTATGTCTACCTGTCCGGTCAAGGTGGACGATCCATCATCGTGTCAACGGAGCGTTACACCGTACGACCAAGAATTTCTAACATCTTCCCCTCTTACATATACTGGGTGTTCCATGTTATTTTATCGAAGGAATATTTCACTTGCTTCTGAAATATTAAAAAATAATTCAGACAAAGATTGAATAGTTTTTCAAAAGAAACATAATACGTAATTAATTATTTTTTTCACAAGTTCAGTTTTGTTTTCTTAAATAAAATCACATATTTTTTAACGCATAAATAAATGTAATTCTGTATAAAAAATTATTAATTATTTATAATAATTTTAAATATATCAAAAAATATAATTTAAGAAAAAATTATACTTTATGACAATTATATTATTTTTATGTAAGACACCCAATACATTTATTTCCCATCGGATTCAAACATTTTTTTTGAAGCAAATCAGATAAATAATAATAGAATATCAAGAGATAAAACAAGTGCAAAAGATAGAAGAAAAAAGTAAGATATTTAAAAAAAAAATAAAAAAAATACAAATCTCAGTATGGTTAAAAACTATTTTTGTAAAAAAAACCTAAATTCTAAATATAAAATCAGTTAAATATTTTCAATAGTTTAAGTTTCCAAATTAATTTAATCATAAAATATTTTGAAATTACAAATAATTCTTTTCGTCAACATCGTTTTTCAATTTTACCGTTCACTATTTCCAATGTATTTTTCTTTTCATCCTAGAGATTTAAGAACAACACAGGAAGCATTTTTCAATTTTCGGTTTCTATTCGGAACCCAAACGGATAATCACTTGTTTAGGACCCGATCCTTGTGTTCTTGTTAGACAGCAAAGAATCCGGCGAATTAACGTAAATCCTTTTTAAATAATAAACCTCTTGTTAAGTGTAATGAATCCATAGAGAATGAAAATGAGAAGTAGAGGGTGCTAAGGTACCTATTGTTGAGGTTAGGAATGACTGACCAATGATGGGACAGTGAAAACCGAAAAATAGGCCAAGACTTTAGGTCGATACTCGTTGCTCGATGCTTAGCTTCGTTATTAGCTAGGACTTGGATATTTGGATACCCTTAATCCCTTTTCTACGATTCCATCGAGTCTAATCTACCTGACTGAGCAGTGACAAATAATATCAAGTTGCCTGCCTCGACGCCAGCGCTACACTGGACCCACTATCTGATTTTAAAGGACGCGCCAACGAAAGATGATCTTCGGTTGACAAAAGGTGTCGAGTCCGAACTTGGATCGTTGGTTAGAACTTTTTCACTGAAATCGGCAGCATCGTTTCATAAGAAAAAGTATAAAGCCGTCTAGGACTATTTTTCTGATATTTGTTTGCGTACATTAGGTTAGGTTAGCCTAGTAACAAAGAAGCTTTTCACGAAGATACAAAATTTCCATAGAAATGGAATATTATTGTACTTTTTTGCGAACAAAAAGAATTTACATAACATCAATTCTGAAAAATGTTTTGAAAATCAGTTTGGAATTATTTCATGTTAGAGTATGAGAAAAAAAATTAATAGAAGTATTAATTTATCTTAATTTGTAAAAGGTATTTTTTTTAAATTTTTTTTTTGCTCATGAAATGCGATGGTTGCCTTATTATAATTTATATCATTTACATATTTATATATAAATCTAAATCTATCTAATTAATAATATTATCGTTAAATTCATGTTGAATCAGAAATGACTCGGATCAAGATTTAAAATATAAAATTATAATTTCGTTGATAAAATCTGAATCGACGAAAATGAAAATCGTATTAAAAAGAAGAAAAAAATTGTGATAAAAAAAATAATCTTCATATGCTTTGATAAATCTTCTTTCCTTATTATTTAGAATCAATTGAACATCAAGCCAGTTACATATATATATGAAATACATATTTATGTACATATATTGATATGATTATATTATATACATATAAATTCGATAAAACGAAAGACTCAACAAAAGACAGAAAAGAAGAAACATACATGGCAGCAACTGAGAAAAATCCATCGTTGAAATCCTTTTCGAGTCAGTTCGATGAGAATATAGAAACGATACGCAAGAGAGATCGACGAATACAGAAGAATCACGAAGGGAAAGAGAAAAAATAGGAGCCAGTTCAACGAGTTCTAAGACGGTGGCGGCCTTTAAAAGATTCCAGATGCTTTGATGTTCGCCGCACAGCACTCCGCTCTGATCCATGTTGGAACGAGCGAATACCGAAAGATCGCTGGAAGATCATGAACAGAAAAGAATTGCATGCAAACATTTCTTACTCTTCACTGTTCACGCAAATTTTCATAATTTATAATTGATTAATATTCAATAATATCTCTTAATTATATTCTTATTTTTTATTCTTCATCTTTTTTATAAGAAAAATTATAATTTATGTGTATCAAAGAAGGAAAAGCAAAATGTTATTTCATAATATTTTTCGGAAAATATTTCGTAATAATTGATAATTATATTAATGGTTTGATCGTCGATATAATTGAACAAGATTTTTCTGTGTAATGTAAATGTAATTTTGCTAAATAACATTATCGTAACGTTCGATCAATTGCAAGAAGAACATCAATACTCATTAATGTTTGGTGCATCGGTATTCGGATCGTTTCAAACAAAGATTTTAGTGACTGGGTCGGTAACCATAAAGGATGACTGTACAGTGAACGTGCAGATTTATCAAAAATGATGACCATGCTGAGACCACTGGTCACAGAAATCAAGATTCTACAATGTATAAAAAGAAATTGTCATAGATGACTAAAAAGGAACAGATATAGTGTTATTTTAATAAATGGAATAATTTTAAGGTTAAAGTGAGAAATATATAATATCACTTTAGAGAGTTATTCTCAAGAAAGATGAAAGTAGTTGATTAATATCCTAGTAAGATGCATTCATTTAATAATTATTAATTTTTAACAAAAACTTTTAAATTTCAGAATTATACAACAAAGAAATCAATATTTTAATTTTGAGTCTGAATCACATTGTACTCACAAAATCGTCAATTCTCAGCTCGAATGATCTAGGCGTGTGCTTTCGAGGACTTTTCACCAAAAATGAAGTGTTCATCGATACTCTTCTGCTGACAAATGTGTGCATTGTCGATGAATAGCGTGCTTCCAGCTTTACAATTACATCGTTACTTGGCTGTTCAATATAGGACGAGAGAAACCGGGACACTTTTCATCCATGGATACCGGTCGTTTTGAAAAAATGGATCGTTGAATGCCCGTAGATCCTTTTTACGCTCACGGTTCTTCCCTACAGAATTGCTGGTTTCCTATTTTCGTCACTGGCGAAAACTTTTCTCAATGACTATACGAGGAACCTCGCTGAATGTATGTAAGTATCCTGAACGACGTATCCATGAACGGATACACCTGTAGCTACTGCTACTATTCTCGAAATAATTCCAACTATAATAATAAGCCTTGAGCCAAAACGAACATAAGGATGACGGCCCATTGACTCCGTTTTTTGTACGATTCAATAGAAACGAAACGAATTGTGCAGCCACGATGAATCGGCATAGTAGCTCTCTCTAGAGGTTAGTGGCTTCATGAATGAAGATGTCGTTGCTGCTCATAGAGAAATAACATCGAGTCGATCCTATGGTTGTCCATAAATTATGTCTTCCACTTCATTTCTCTATTTTTCAGGATATCTCATCTATTGATGGTTGGTTGTTTACCTGTGCAACTGGAATAAAACTGATCGATTTCGAAATTGTAAAGCAATTTTATATCATTTTGTCAATTGAATTTACAGAATAATTTTTTGAATTGTGAATTATAGATTGAAAATAGGTTAGATTACAGATGACATATAGTGCATATATATATAATGCTTCATATTACAGAAATTTATTTCTTTGTTATTTTTCGTATCGTATGCAATGTTATTGATGTGGTATCGTTAATACTTTTCACAATTAAAATTTAATAATAAATATATATAAGAAAATAAATAATTTCTGCGAATGTATCAATTTAAATGTAAAAATGGTAAGTAAATACAACGATAAGTGATATGAAATGATAAGTAAATACATCAAATTTCATGCACTATATTTTTTAAAATTATATTTTTCTAATATAAAATCGTAAAATCGTAAAAATGCTGCAAAAATTTTCGATTTTATATTAGAAAAATATAATTAGTTATAAATAAAGAAAAAGTTCTCAAATATTTTTTATCATAGTAAAACATTGATATATTATAACACTTATATTTTGATTTCTTTTAGCTAAGAAGTTCCTTAAAACATCGATATACGTAAGTTAACGTAACAAGGAAAGTCATAACGTTTAACTCCCCGCGAACAAAACAGTCTGTACCCCAATATCGATAACTACCCAATTGTGCGGGCTCCAGAGGTTCGTTTCTGATATAATCAGGGAATACGCAGGGGGTGCTACTAATTGTAATCGTATAATACAGTCGAGGGGTGACGAGCATCGCAAAGAATTGATTCTGGTTACGTTAATATAATCAGAAATTCAAGACCCGCTCGTCCCTTTCCTTATGAAATATGTACTATGGGAGATGTTTGTATTCGCATCTTTTTATTGACCATCCAACGATCATGAAAACTCATGCAAATATTTCTCGCGCCTCAGAATTTTTAGATAAATTATGAAGTTTTTATGAATATGAATAAGAAAAATGTTTTTCTAGCAATAAAAATTATAATGCATTTCATCTATTGGAACTAATAGAGGTAAGCATATATTAATTATATTTTAATTCACATACAAGCATCTCAATTCTTCTGATTGTTAATTCAATCCTTTTGCCAAATTATTCACGGAAATTCTTAACTTATAAATTCAACAGCTCTTATATCTTTCAGTACAAATAACAGTATAATATTAATATGATATACTTTCTATAATAGAATTGCAATGAAATGAGAGCAGTTCAGCGGCAATGTATTGAATATCAAAGATAAGAATAGAAGAAGAAAAAGGATTGGTAAGCATCGGTGATCTATTGCAGAGAGAATCTGTGCGCTTAAAAAATGAGCAAGATCGCGCTCGCTTGAAAAGGCATCCATTGACTTTCCTTTCAATGGCCCGTTGCAACAAAACGAGCATGCGATATCGGTGCGGCAATGAAGTGGAGACCATGCGTAATCAATCAGTTTCATAGAAGCATGGAGGCCCGACGCGTTAATATCCAGTAGAAAACTATGAATATATACGCAGCTACCGACAAACGAAGATTCGGTCGAGTGTAACGCGTAAGATGAATATTGGACAGGCCACGAGTAGATATATGTGTTATAATATGCTTCCTATGCTGGATAGATATAACATATTCATAGCTGACTGGATGAGAAGCGCGCATATGCATCTATACAAATGGTTTCAGAATTATAATATTTAACACAATTTTATAATGATAAAAATTTTGGATAATAATGTATCGAGAATATTTTTGTGGAATGGTTATGAATAATAATCAGAAAGATTACGTATGTATTACGATTTTACTTTATTTAATGATATTAATCATTTTATAATTACATCATAGATCATTTACTAATAACAATAAATTAAAACTTATATAGGTATCCTTAAGGAATTATTAATAAAATTTTGAATTAGATAAAAAGTACTCCTATCTTCGTACTTCAGAGAATTATTAATAGGCCTGTATTTTTGAAGCACTCTATACATATATATATATACTACATATATGTTACGCCACTGACGAACGCATTGTGCTAGCGTAGCGAGTAAACGAGTCACGCTGCGTCACGTTCTGGCCCACCACCGCAGCAGCAGTAACAGCAGCAGCCCTTCTCCTTTTGTACGAACACCCCGCCGCTTTTCAGCCCGGCCTGAATTACGTTACGCCGCTTTACTATCGGCCAGTTTATATTCGAGGTTTATGCGGACCTCGGCTAGATACACGTGAATAGCGTTTTAATCGAATCGCGCCACAGCCGCGTAATGATATTTGCTCCCTTCCTTTACCGAGCTCTCGACTCTATATCATGGAGGAAGAATCCCTTTTTATTTTTTTTTTTTCTTTTACCGATTTATCTTTGTTTTTCAACATTTGTTTGTTTTCTGTTGATTTGTTTGATGGAAATAGAAGCCTTTAACAAGTCTGTACATTGAATTTTGAGCTTTCCGGTTGGATATGATCGTAAATTTGATTTTGAAAGTGCTGAAAGTGCATAATTTTCTTTATTTATTGATACTGATATAATAATTAAAAAATATAAAAATATATTTATAGATAATTTCATTCGTTATTATGATATTATTGAAAAAATATGTATTTCAAAGACTTTAATATAAACGACATATTAATTTAACAAATACCAATATTTAAATTTTCAAAATATAAATATATTCATAATCATTTTACTTACATGCACATAGTCTTCCAACTTTATTTCAACTACTCGACATGTCAATTTACTCGCGTACGAAAAGTGAATCGAATTTTGTGCTCGAAGATAGAGATGAAAACTCTTGAAATATTCGCACATGCCTGCTCATAACTTAATGGAGTTGACAAGTCGTCGACGAGAATGATGGACTGCGTTGGATCGAGGGGTTTCTCGCAACCCCAACGCGAGGATAAAAACGGATTCGCCACGGGCAGCTGTGGCGGCGCTACTATGCTCGCCTTCTAGCTCATTTTCCTCCTCTTTACTTTTGGGGGAAATCAACTCTCTCTCCCATCCGCGTAATCGGTTTTTCTGTTGTGCCACTTAAACAAGACAGCATTTGCGCACATGCGTGTTTTACATGAGATCCGTATCCCGAATTATACGTGGGACGAACCCTTGTCGGAACTTCGAGAAGCGAAAACCACTTTGTTATATGGCCGTCAAAATTTTCATTCATATTCATTTTATCTCGTCACGGTTCTTTAATGCTGTACAATATTCAAAATATAGCTATGAACTGTAAGATATATATAAGAAGACATAAGATTTTAGTGTTATCTCTAAAGTTATTTTGTTGAAATAATTTTAGAAATATTAAAACATATATGATAAATAATATAAAAAAAAATGTATATGTAAAATATATGTACGTATTTAAAAATTATATTTCGTCACCTTCTCTTTTTTTTCCTCTTATTAACCACCTTAGATTGTCCACCTTAGATATTTTCATAGGTTATTATAAAGTAAATATAGACAAAGAGAGCAAATAATAAGACAAGGATGGAGATAGATTAAAAATTGTGAAATCAGCGCCATCTTCAGAGTGCCGTAAATGAAACATATAAAGAAAGGATAGAAAATAATTAGAAGAAGATAGAAATAGGATCAGAATTGACTACTAATGCCATCTCTTGAGTGTCAAAAATATTTCTTCAAAAATAGAGTAAGATAAAATAATAATTGAAATATTATAGACTAGATATAAATAATATAGATTGTGATTATAATAAAATATAAAATATAAAAATATCTTTCTAAAAACAATCAAAAGATGACATTGATTTTTAATTTTTATTTTGTCTTCAGAAAATTTTTTTTTACATTCAAGAGATGGCGCTAATTGTCAATTCTTAACTTTTAGCTTATCGCTTTTAGAGATATTTTTAGTGCTCAAGAGATGGCGCTAAAAGTCACTTTTATTCAATCTCTATCCTCTTCTTTCTATTTTCTATCCTTTTTTATGTGTTTCATTTGCGGCACTCTGAAGATGGCGCTGATTTCACAATTTTTAACCTATCTCTGTTCTTGTCTTATTATTTGCTCTCTTTGTCTACATTTAGTATGTAAAATTAATTTTATAACGTTAATTTAAACACTTGTGACGATCTATGATCCGAAAATGTCTAAGATTTTTTTGTAATAAGAAGAAAAAAATTAATGGTTTGTACATTTTTATATACATATATATATTTTATATTCTATATTTCTATATTTCTATCGGCATTTTAGAATGCGATGATAATGTGGTAAAAATCCATAAAATTTTACAATTCAAATATTCTATGACATATGTATTTAATTTTAATAATTATAAATTTTTTATTTATCAAACTTACTGGTGAGTCAAAAATTTTTTTTTTATTAATTGTTTTTCTAATATACTTAAATTATAAAATGTTTAATAAAAGTTACGTTATAATATGAAATCTAACCTAAAATAAATCTAAAGTAATAATAAAGTAAAATTAGTAAAATCTATAAATTAAAATCTATAGTAATAATATAAATGTAAAAAAATAATTGATTAATTTTTATATTTTTATTAAAAAAATTTCAAATTTCATAGTTTTTCATATTAAATTCAAAATTATGAACTTTTATTATGCTACTTTTATTTTTCGATCAACATGTATTTCATAAGAATGAAATCTAATGAAATAGGGATAAACGTAGAATCTAACACTTGTCTTCAAAATACATGAGGTAATATGAGCAGGTTAAAAATGATTAAAAGATAATAATAATCAGGTTAACTCGTGCAACGATTACTTAATCAATCTGATTTTCAGTTTATTATGAAAATATTATCTGCATTATCTCGTTGTCATTGAATATCATAGCTTAAAAAGGAAAATGTTAGAAAATTTAATAAAAATGATGTAAAATTTATAATTTCAAGGTTGCGAATACACTCTCTTGCTAATGCTTGAGCAACCGGTTTTCTCGGATTCTACTAAATAGTCCGACAAAGTAGCATCTCTTTCCTGACCTGAATATAAAAAAAAAATGAAATTTCAAGCTTATTTAAAATTATAAACGTTGAAACGAATTATGAAATAAATCATTTTTATTTAAAAATCTGTAAAATCTTTCGATAAATCGAATTATAACAATTTATGTTTTTATGTGTATAATCTATATCTATACACCTATTAAAATAAATATATCTATAAATAAATAAAATAAATCTGTAATATTTATGTATTGATTGTAATTTTAGATTTATTTATCTTTAGACTTATTTGAACATTCTTTTCCAAAGTAGCATAATATTTAATATTGTATATTAACATTAAATCAGGCCGGTTTTATTTCACATTAGTTGCTCGGCAAAAGGGCCGAATTCACTTTCACAAACTGGTGCGAGTGAAGTGAAGGACTTTTTTTTCCGAAACGAAATCTCGTCGCACCTGAAAACATTGCCAATTCGAATATATTGATTGAATTTTTTCCACCAATAACAAATGTCTTTGTTCGAAAATTGAAACGTTGACGAATAACCTATAATGGTGTGATGTGTTGAGTCGTGAGTAATATAACCTTCACCCTTGCCTCGTTTCACCGACTAGTCATTTCTCTTTCCATAGCCAACTAATTATTAACACTGTAGTCTTTCTAGTTGCTAGTCTTTAGATGATAATAGAATTACAAAAAAAGGGAAGAAGGAATTTTTTTCATTGTTAGTTTAATTTCTTTTATTCGATTTGTTTTTCTTCAAATGTTATTAGAGAAGAAATAACCTATTTAAAATTCCAGATTATTATATTATTGAAAAGAAAATGATGAGATTGCGGAAGAAAATTGTCAGATAAAATGTTTTATGTATTTAACACGTTTTTTCGACCTCACATTTTTTTTCAATACAATATTGTTTTAATTCTTATGAGTTTTAGATATGCCGAATTTGATTGTACGACTTATCAAAGAGTTATTAAAATAAAAATATACTTTCAAATTCCTAAAATTTAAATAGCTATATTTCACAAGAACTTTTTTATTTAATTTTTATTTATGCAAAATATCTCTGTTTCTCGCTTACTAATAAAAAAATTGAATCATATATATCATATCAATACATTAACGAAATATATTTTCAGATTCAAGAAATCGGACAATAGTATACACAAATAGTATACACAAATCAAAAGATATAAATGAAAAAAGGAAAAGAAAAAGAATCGAAGAAAATCACGTAACGCGTTGTAGTGTTATTTAACCTCGATTAAACGTGTTCTTTTGCATCGAACCACCGAGTCGATTCGCACGATATCCATAGTCATTTCTTTTCCGGCCAGTCGTGGTATCAGAACTTTCACGCTCGAAATGTTGGCCAGCCATTGCGAAATCAGATGATATTTACACAACCGTGCCGACTTTTCTCACTCGTTCGCTTTAATAAACGCGGACTAATTATCGTAGAAATTGTAACTATTATAACACTTCTTGCCGGAAGAATTACAGTTGGATTACATGTCAGATGGGTCATTAGTATTCCTCAAGGTCATGATTGTTGGATCATCGGAGTATATACTACACATGTTATGTAAGATAGATCTCGAGAGAGGGTGTATCTTGCCGCTATGCACATTTTAATTAAATACATCTATCATTCAATGCGTTTCGCAAATAAGAAATCCGAGTATGTGATTTATTTTTAGGAGATAAACTTAATTACAATGTTCAATGGAAATAAAAATCTATTTGACAAAACGGTTTTACAAGTGGAAAAATTTTAATGAGAAATTTAAAAAAAAATTTTTGAAATGGATTTATGGTTGAGTTATTATTGTCTCAATAAAATGTGGATATTAAAGATTGAGTAATTGAACATTAAAATTTTTTTTCATTTTTGATAATTTTCACGATTATAATTTGTTAAAAATCAAGTGAAAGTACGTGATGCGTAAATGAAACATTATATATAATATGATATGGTGTATATATTGTATATGTTACAAAGTAAGTTGTCAAAGTATAAAAAATATATTAGAATGATGGATACTTTACACAAGTTTATTACACAAATCATATGAATTAATATTTTTTTTAATTTTTATAAATAGCGACATAAGCTTTTTTAATTAAAATTCAGAATTTATTGACACAATTACTGATTTTGTAGAGACTTCTGTTGTCAACTAAATGTGAATCCCTTTCACCAGCAATCTGCATGCTTATGTAATTCACTGCGAATTATTGGATTGATCAATATCTTTAAACAAATTTAATCTCTATAATAAGAATTCAATAAATAAAATAATAATAATGAAATGAAATAAATACAATTAAAAATAATGAATTATAATTAAATTTCATAAAAATATATATATATATACTAAATCATTATATGAATATATTTATTACTTATAGAAATAATTAAATTTTACAAAAATATAGAAAATACGAAAGAGTAAAATTATTATTGTATATTAATTAAAAATATAATTTTATTCAATTAAATAATAACGATTTTTAAATTGAACATATAAGTATCAGTAATATTAAAGTAATACTATTATCATAATTACTGTTATGTAAAAATTTCTCTAGGTATTAAGTGGTGGTATCCTTTCTCAAGACAATTTTCTAAATAAACGGCAAACTAGCAATGAGAAGGTGTCTAATAAAAAGATCGTTGATTCCATTTAGAACGAATGAACGTGAGAACGGAAACAAGGGCCGAAGGTGCCACGGTTTAGGCTTCATTGTTATCCAAGAAACTGCGGGAAGAAGAGTTATCGTAAGAAGGAAGCTTACGCGTAATGAGGCAAATCAGATTGGCTGATTACGAAATGTGAGATCGCTTACCATTTCTTGCAACAAACTCGATAAAGTTTCAAAAGTGAAACGATTACCACATTTCTTATTCTCTGTTTTGTCGTATACATATTTACGACGTTTTTATGTCACCTCGATTATCGTGGTAATATTTTTTTAAGTCTATATCGTTATTCTGCAATTCAAAAAACTTTAGAATGTATTTTTCTTCTTATTGTGAGAATAAATTTTTCATATCTAATCAAGCATTGCACATAATCCGATGTGTTGTCCTATAAATTAATCAATTTATCTATTTATAAAAATGAAAATAATAAGAAAAAATTTATTTGAATTGAAATTTATGAACAAATTTAGAAATTTAATAAATTTCTTAATAGAAACTTAATATTTTGTTAAAAAAAATTTATAAAAAGTGAAGTACATATATGTAAATGGATTATATAGATTATATGTAGATACTTACTTTCAAGTATATATTTCTTTCGATATCAAGAAAAACAATTTCATATTTTTGTTAAAAAATTGAAACCACGAATGCGTAATAGGAAATGATCTTATCATGTTCGAGTCTTAGTCATGCATTTCTCATTTAATATCATAAAGATTTCACACATTTTAATATAAAATAATCACTATAATAAAATTGTTCATAAATTATATATAAATTCAAACTTGGAAATTCATCATTTTTGTAAACATAAAAAATCCATTATTTGATTAATATAAATAGCAAATACGATTAAATATTAAATAATTATTTTATTTAATATTATTTTTGAAAAATAAATGATACTTTGTAATTTTATATTTTTGATTACTTATAATAATATTATAAGATTATTACAAGATTTACATTTTTATTTAATTAAAATTTATATGTATAATCTATAATTTTTTTTATATTTTATTTTTTCTAAACGAAGAAAGCTATAAATAATTCATCTTATTTCTTACTTGCCATCTTTTTCCTATCATTCTCTCTTCCTTCCTCATCTCCATCATAAATCGATTTCAAACATGGATTTTTCAACATTCAGAAAACTTGTTCTTCCCTGTGGTGCAGTGTCCAAAAGACACAAAATGGAAGCGCTTATGCCACCTAAGGATTTGTATGATTCAGACAAGGATCGATCTTGTCAAAAAGAATGAAAAAAGGATACATCTTATCTATCGTTTACCACCCACCGCGAGGTTAGAACCTTCGTGTCCCTCCCCTTCCTGTCACCTCCCACCCTCACTCTACGAACAATATGTACGTGATGCGCGCGCGCGCATACACACACACACACTCGTTTATTAGTGCCTTATGAGTGCACGATACTCTACACACGCGCGCGCATTTACCGGCGATCGTTCGCCACAGCAAGTAGATACGAAATAGCGGTCGCAGTCGCGAAGGCTCGCTGCTCACGGTGAGATCGTGGTCTGTCGTGATCGAGAGCAGAACACGGTGTCGATTGTGATCGATCGATCGATCGTTGTCAATAGTGGACGCGGTCGATTCCTATCGAGACAAGGAGAAGGTATACGAGAAACACGCCACACGTGTGAACGTACAGTTTGGATCAGGACATGAAAAAGAATTCTGCGTGAGTTCGAGACATCGTTTCTTATCGATTGATTTGAAGATTCGATTATAGATTGATGATTGCATCTACAACGATCAATCGAACGCGTGTGAAATAAAATACCGCGAAAACTACCGGTGCGATTCTGCGCGGTGACAGCTTGTGATCCGCGTGCAACGAGTCAATATATTAAATTCATTTGTTGTATTAAATTCAAAAATATAAAGAAAGTATTAAGAAATTGAATAAAATTTGATTATTTCATTGAGTGATATTGAATAAATTGAATTGTTGATATGATGTACGATCGTGGTGAGGTTAAGCGGATGTTTGTTATTTGGTACAGGACGGAATAACTTGAAGTGCAGGACGAGTGAGCTCAACGAACAATAATGATTTTATGAGAAAATCTACAAGAAATGCTTATACATTTTGTTGTTGGATCTATGTAGTCGCAATATCGAAAGGATAATTGTGAACAAGAAGAAATGGAGAATTCTTGAAACGTTTAGGTGAGATTTCTAATTTTTTTTTTTTAAGTTTGTTGCATATGTTGCATAATTTTATCGACATACAATTCGATTATAATATTGTAAGAAAATACTTGAGTATTTAATTATTAAAGTAATTAATCATAGATAGAGAGTTATGATATTGTATTTTTATATCTCAATAATTTTTATGTAAATAGTTTTTCAAAGAATAATGCATTTTCTTAAAAAGTGTAGGAAAAAAATTCATTATTATTTAAAATTACTGTCGATTCTAAAATATATTCAGAATTCAATTTTTTAAAATTATTTTTGAATTATTTGAAAACTCATTATTTTGAAAATTCAATATAAATGTCTTATTTGAATAGAAAAATGAAAGAAGGGTGAAGACGAATATGCTAATATAAGAATATGATGTTCTACCGTGAGAACGAATGGCTGAATATACACGTGTTGTTTACAATTCATGTTTTCAAATTCGCTATTCAAAACGATATTTTTCTTTGTTAGATGTTTTGTCGTGTACCTATGAATGATCAAAGTAGATAAACAAAATTTATGATGATATTTCATATCTCTTACGTAAATGCAAATATATAGAAGTTTTGAATTACATTTTAAAATCATTTACATATAATTTTATTAAAGTTTTATAAGTTTTAATAGATTTGTTTGTCGATTTTATAATATGGAAGGTATGATTTTATACATAATGGAATGTTAAACAAGAGATTAATTATTATTCAAGATCGAATAATAACGTCATTGGAATTTATCGTTGTTTTTATTTAAAACGAATATTTTTCATCGTAAATGGTAATCATTGATTATCAATAATTTAGCATTTTAACTAAAAAAAATATTATGATGAAAAAATTATTTTAAAAATCAAATATGTAAATATATGCATGTATATATACATGCAAAATACCAATAATATTAAAACAAGTGTATTTATATTTTATCTGTTTAAGTTAGATGTTTTAATAAAATATTCTTATCGCAATTCATCAATATTATTATATAATATTATTAACATATGTTATTATAATTAACTATTTTATTTACTTAATTATAATATTTTCATTTAAGAATTATTTTTCTATTACACAATCTATAATTTCAGTTTAAGTAGAAAGTTGAAAAAAGTATAAAAAAGCTTAAAAAAAATATTGCATTCTTGTTAATTTTACAGATATACATAATATTTTAAACTTTCGCCGTATATTCAATATACGTATATATCCGCACTAAATAGCAACTAACATAACACTAACCTATATTCAAGTTACACTTGACCGTAATAATATCAAAAAAGTAAAAATAACTTTCAACAATTCTTTCGTATGTTTTGACTTTATGGAACCGATCTGTTAGCCACTTGGCAAAGTAGGCCTCCCATTCAGGAAGTAGATTTACCATCGAAATCGAGGTGCACGCATATACACGAGCCACACGTGAGGCTACTGTTCGAACATTGCATATCGACTTACCTAACGCGTTATTTAACCTCTCATTGCATTAAACGTTAGGTTATGTTTCACCGAAATCCTATTCGAATTGTTCGTAGTGATCGATGATCGATGCTCGATATTTAATGCTCGAATAGCGGATTTAATAATCGATTGTTACAGAGAATTAATCTGCATTTATATCGAATGTATTTAACCTATGTGCGTTGTCATATTTCAAATAATAACGAAGGAACAATATGAACAATATGATGTCGATCGTGAATGAATGCTTTAATCACATATTTTGTTATTATAAAGGAATAGCGATGAAAAAATGGTAAAAAATTATTATGTATTATATAACAAGTATTAGAAATTTTACAAATATAATAGATTCGAATGCAATGAATGATTCGAATAAATTTTAGAAACAATAAATTCGAATATAGTGAAACTGTATAGTTATTCAAAAGAACGAATCTCAAAGTATTTATAATAGCAATAATTACTAGGCTGAAGAGCCTACTGAAAGTTGGATTGCGGCAATTCAGCCTTGGTCTCGTTGTGCTTAGAGGATTATTAGGCTCATTCGTTAACTCTGTATCTTTGTACAATTTTAAAACGATTTCAATGTCGTGAATATCAATATTTAATCAATGAAACAAACTATAATATTTTCTTTTATAATGTAATATATTCTAATAAATTCTTCTTGCAATTCTGCATTAGTTAATAAAAATTAATGTTTTTTTTTTTTAAATTAATTCAAAATATTAATGTATACATATTTTAGCTCATGATTTTTAAATAATAATAATAATAATAATGAATGTATATATGAATTAGAGGTAAATTATTAATAAATTTGATTGTTGCATGAACGCATATGCTTAGCACGTGCAAAAGCAAGGATTTTGATTTATGTATGTAATATACAGATATTCAGATTTATATGAAAGCTGCAATTTAGATTAATAGTTCAACAGGCTGCGAGTAAAATAATCTTACAAGGAGAGATACAAATGGAATGAGCACTTGAACAAAATTAGAGCTTAAAATATAATAAAAAATAAATATAAATAAATCTTATTATAGTTTCAACTGACTTGTTTAGAAAATACGATACTTGAACGGACTTAATATTACGACAATCTAATTAATAGTCAGTTCGGATTTCTGTTGGTTTCTTAATTGAATTTAAAATTTTGCGGTTATACTGCTCTCTCTATTTTACATTTTTTTACATTGCATTATTGACTGCATTATCTCGAAATGAATCTAAATATGAAATAATTCGATTAAATATCGCGGGGATCGTTGATCGAAAGTTGCTTAACGTGTAAACGAATTTCGGAATAGAGGTCAAATTTTTCGAAATCATTCAAGGATAACTTTTGCATTCGTTTTGAAGGTGAATGTAAAATATGAGTCAGGGTCGAATATCTATAAAATAAAATGTTCGCGAAGCATCTTTTTTTTTTAGTTTACTGAAAGTGAAAAATTAAAAACACGCGCAATTTGAAGAAATATCAAATAAATATGATACCTAATTCTCAAAATATTTTATACAAAATCACGTTAGAAGAGGAGCAATTCGTTTGGTAATCAATTATCGCGATAAATTTTATTACACTTCTCCATAGCAATTCAACTCGATTAGGAAGGTACACGCGTCATAATAGAAATTATCCCGTACACGTTGCTCAATAGACAGAATATTTAGGACGAGTTAACGATTTCGTTGGTGTATAAAATCGTGTCTGCTATTCTTACGTAAAAAAAAAAAAAAAAAATAAGAGGAAAAAATTACAATAGAACAATGAATCAGCGATCTGTGAAACCCTATTTACCAAATTTTTTCTTCTTGACTATGATATCTTCAATTTTCCTAAATAAGATTTTTTTTTTTATCATAGCTCAGTAGTGCGAGACATATACGTGCAAATAAATATATCGCAAATTGCATCAATGTATCAATCCACAAAAATCATATAACCTCTTCCATTTGCACCACGTGCTGTGTAATAAAACCATAACGAATCTGAAAAAAAAAAAAAAGAAAGAAAAAGTCACACAGCCCTCTATATAGTCACCGCTAGCTTATTTAATTACCTTCTGAAACAAAGTATAGTTTGTTATGAGTCAGCGATAACTAATCGCAAGTGAGCAGCGGTACGCGGGTTCGTTAGGATCAACAGGTTGCCCCCATCGATCCGTAGATCTCGCGATACGCAATGCTCGCAGGTGTAACACCCTTAAAACGAGAACGAGTGGCCTGTGAAAAAATCGCTATATTCTCTTTCAAACTTTTATCACAGGTATCGCACGCACTTTCACATCTACACGATACGATAATGCAGGCGTATACACGCGATATCGATACACACGGATGTGTAGACATTGCGAGAATATATAGGAAAAGCGAGTCGGAACGATTTACAAGCACGTGGTACGATTGCGGGTGACCGTCCTTATACCACTTACCTAGATTTTCAACCAGGAACAAACGGCTCGGAATAGTAGCGGCGAGAACGACAGGATTTTGCAAGAAAAATACCAGGAACTTGTACTTTCATGCCGAGGTAAATCGACGACCTTACGCACGAGATTGGCCGAGATCGATCGATTTGTTCGTTATCCGTGAAATATCGATACTACTGTCAATGCATTTGTATATCGTATGTCGGAACGGTATTACGATATAAATAGAA